AACAGCTAAGTGGCGGCGGCCTTGCACCGGCGCATCATGTGCGCAAAATCCACTCTGGGAGCCAAACTCATCATGAGAGAAGTCACGCAGGACCAAAATTTGTCACTGCAATCATACATTCTCCTGCTTGGCAGGGGTTCAACAACGCACGAGCAGTGAAGGGGCAGGGGATACGTCGCGCTGGGTGCGATCGCAAAAAAGTTCAGCTGACCGGATGAATCCTGCAGCAATAAACAATTCAGCATCAGTGTGTGACAACAGGTACCCCCAGTGAGCCATTTTTTGGCCACTTGCAGTTTTGTACAGTTTGAGTGTCAGTGCGCCCCTTCGGGCCACTTGTGCAGCACGGTGTATAGTGCTACATAGCATGCTGTATAGCACCTACATCCACATCTGACGGTAGCTTGATAGTTGAGGGGTCTCTCAAGGGCCATTCGTGGCACTGACTGGCCTAGCATCATCAGTGCTCCACTGTGCACCAGATGCACCATCAGCAGTAGCTGTCAGAAGTCTGCTGGTGTAGTGGCCTGCGTGTGGGGAATGGCCAGCGTGCAGGATCACAGACCAAACATTATAGGGGACGTTGGTGCATTGCAGTGTATCGTCATCGAACACTGGAAGATTCACGCGGGGTTCGATGATGACAGGGGTGGTAACTTTTTGCATTTGATTCTGTACTTGGGCAATCTGATCATAAGTATAATGGGGGGATTCTTTAGGGCCTGAATGCCGAGTTGCTGGGTGTGCCATGTAAAGATGAGGTGCTGAAGACTTTGCGGGATATGTGACTGTTCAAGATCAAGATTCAAGGCCACATCAGTAGAGGAATGATGCCGAATCTCAATTTTGTATCCTCGCCTCCCACGTTCCAACCACAGCCTGGGGCCGACCTACGGCTACCCAATGTTCGAGGAACTCACTGGCGTCCTGCTGTCGATGTAGGTCACGCCAACCTGCAAGTATGCTTCGCCATGATGCAAGGGTGTGGACGTGCAATGGTCTGAGAGATTGAGTGATGTCCCGCCATGCCTGCGTCCTGGAACCATATGCCTGCCTGTCATTGCAATTGAGACGGTTGGTGGTATGTAGCCATGCAACTATGGTAGCATTCATGTAGCATGTGTTGCTACTGTTCAGCAGTCTGAGCCTCATGAGTTGCTGATCAATTTCTGCACGAGCTCCGCCGCCGGTGAGTGGCGGAGTGAATCCCTGCGAAGCTGGATTCCTATGGTCTGCAGCACCGAGCAGTTGGAGAGTGTCTCCAAGACGTGCCATATTTTGTGTGAGCCCTCCGTACGACCCGATACCTCCAATTGAAATGCCGATACCTTGTCCGAGGTTTCCTTCATGGCTCTGTTCGCGTGAAACCTGTGAACCATGTGCGGCGCAGACAGTAACGGAATGATCTCCTGGAGTTCCTGCACTATCTGCTGGGTGGGCACTGGGGCCTTGTCTGGATTGACTACCAGGGCTCCCATTGACGGAGACCACGTCTGGTACTGCCATCCCTTGTCTGTGAGCCAACCCTGTGATTGCGCCTTCTCCAACAGTGGCCCCTTCAAGTCCTCCAGAGCCTTCAGAAGGTGTTCCATGAGGCAAGTGATCAAGACACTCCGAAGGGGTGCTGCCTAGGCACCTTGGACCTAGATCCGCAATGGGGACAAGGAGAGCCGGGACTATTAAACTTCGAGTAAAGGTTGCAGGCATCACGCACGAACTCCTGAAACACTTCAGCATGTGATAGTCTAAAGTGTTGTTTCATCTTACTGGCGCTTGTGATCCATTGATTGCAGAGGGCACAATACTGGGCGAGCACTTGACGGTCCGGTAGATGAAAGGCGGCATTGTCACCATACCTGCGAAGGGCTGCGACAGTGGCAGGTCGCTCAGCATATGGTACAACTTCTACTTCGGTTAATGTGGATGGGGCCGCCTGTGCGGCTCCCACATCATCCAGAGTAGTTTGATGCTGGCTGTGTGCCTTGTTGAACAGGACTGGGCAGCGCTTGTCAAGTATGTGTTTGCGCAAGCTGGGCCAGTCACACATGGGTTTGTCACAGTGCTTACATATGTGCAATCCGTCCTTGGCATCTCTGCTTTTGTCAAAAATCGCAGGCTGGTTGACGGGTCGGAGGGGGTC